AGTGGCCGGAGATCCTCGAGTGCCTGCAGAATCAGTGTTTCCAACTGACTGCCTCCCTCGCTCCTTTGAATCCATCAACCAAGAACACCGCATTCACCAGTCCAGACAGGACGGGAAATGAGAAGAGAGATTTTCTTTCCATCACCACTCTCTTTATAAAAGCATCACCTCCGCCCCTCACCAAAGCAATGGGGTAACCTTGAAATCGAAGCCAGCCACTGAAACAAGTTGGCTGGGTTAGGGAAAAGAACTCAGGACCACGTCCTACAGGGCTCAGCATCCTCTGCACGGCACAGGATCCCCATACCTTTCATCCTGAATGGAAAACCAAATCCTGCGGCCATGCCACAGAGGAATTATGTCACACCCAAAATTCAGGTAGCAGATGTTTTTGATAGGGAGACAAAAATGAATATGGTAACCTCCAAAAGAGGTTTATTTCTTTGTTGTGGATAATCTGGAGTGAGTAAATCCACTTTCTCCCCATCATTACCCAGGACAGTGAGAGGCAACAACATACAACCCAAGCACTAAATACTAAGAACATCCAAGCGTCGTGAGCCCGTTGGACAAAGTCCCAGATCAATATGGAAGCAATGGGAACAGATCCCCACAAGCTGCTGCAATGGGAGCAGCAACCCTGAGACGCAAAGAGATCCAGGCTGATGCACGATGCCTGCACTTTGGCTCATTGTGTAAGCCAGATTCCCCACTGCAGAACACATAAATGTGCCTGTAGGTGGCCTAAAAACACTGACTTATTAAAAAGAAAGAGAAGGGGAGGGGGAATGAATGCAACGTCTGTCAGCCTTTTACCAAATTGGATTTGTGTGTGTGTAGTTGGAGCTTGTTTTGCAAAGATTTACATTTTTGTGTGTGTTGTCATGTGCTTTTCATGCATTTTGAGACCTCAGAGTTTAGAAATTCAAAACACCTGTCAGTCACATCAATCCCTCTGGACAAAACAGAGCTGCCACTTGGATGGGTAAAAAATAAAAACAAACAAAAAGCACTTTTCTGTCAAGCTGTGACTTGGTCACCCTACTCAAAGCGACCAAAACAATGTTTAGAGAGAGGAAAAAGAAAGATTTGAGTTTTCATACTCATCGGTGGAACTAAATTGATTAAGGGCATTTCCTAGGTAGGTTTGAAATCTTCTGCAACAATTTTTGAAAAGAAAAAGGAAAGTGCCCTTCTAAAAAAGGGAAAAGCCACTACCGCAAAAACATTAAATCTGCCTGGGTAACTCAGAATATATATGTTGGCAAGGCAACATATCACAGCTTGAACAGTAAACCTGCTATGTCAGAGGCTCTGCAACATATGAAAGAGACTTGGGCTTCAATATATCATGCTGAATTTACTTCTTTTCAGCCTTTCATGGCAAAGCATTTGATGTCTATCCTTTCACTGCTGCAGTCGATAGGGTAACCTTCCTTAAAAGTTTCCTGACCTTTGCTGTTGTCAGTATTGTTCTGTTACAATGTAATTTAATTCTTTTTCTTTAGTCTGGAAATGGCACTGTACGGATAGTAAACATGATAGGGTTTGGGTTTTTTTTCCCCTCTAACCTAGAGGGGAGAGGTAAAAGCATCCATCATCAGAGCTGGCTTAAAACCAGGCGATGTCAAGAGCCGGTTGACACACAGCAGCCTGGATCTTCTGCTGATGAGGACCCACTGAGCAGCACAGATTTCACACTTCTCACTTGCGCTGTGCCCCTTGGCATCAGCACATGGTCTGGGTGGTTTCCCAGCACTCTGTTTTGCAAAAACACTTGGATGCTTGCCCTCGAGGGTTGAAGTCTAGTGCCATGATACGGCTGCATTCTGACTGAACTGTAAGAGGGAGAGCATCCGGATGTGACTCCAGTGAGCTATTTCTCTATGCTGCTGCCGTAAGTAGACATACTTGTGCATGGAACCCTGCAGCAGACCAGCTTCTGCTGGGCTCATGATCTCAATTGGAAAGAGAACAGCTTACCATGGAGGAGGCAGGCTCAAAATGAGCATTTATCCCCAATTTCTGGTCCTTTCTGGGCTTCCTGGCTGTGGTCACACTCTGCCCCTCAGGGAAAGGGCCCTGGGAAGCAGCAGAACTTAAAAACAAAGGCATCAAGGCAGGGACAGAAGCTCAAATGTTTATCCACAGTACCATGAGGCTTCCCTAGGTTCACAGCATTACAAGAACGTTGGCACCTCTTCGGTGCTATGAGGTCAGAACACTTCCAGAATTGAGGCCTTTAGATAACACCTTGCACTCCCATAATGCTTGGAAAACAAAGAGATTGAAACCAACTAAAGAACAAAACAAAGGGATTTGTTTTCAAAGAACTACCAAAACAGAAGGGGATCGATTTTTCCTCAGGACTACGGTGTTTAAAAGGCCAGGTTGCTTTGGGGATACAGCTGGATTATCCATTGCAGGATCTTTATAAGCCTGGTTTCAATCATATTATGGTCCTGTAATGGATATACTTTTGCAAAAGCAATTTCACATTGCTATTATCTGTTTTGTTGCCATTATGATGTCTTTATGTTATTGCTGTACATGGGTATTGCATTGCATTAGTGTTGCAGAGGCACACATACACACATGCACTTGCACAGGATTATTGCTAAAAATTCTGATCCTTCTTATAAAAAGCCCTATAAATCCCACAGAGCTCCCTTCAAATCAGCAGCATTATCCAACAGTAAAGCCAGGGTGTAAATCAGAGCAGACTCTGGCTCAGATGCTCTTCAGCCACACACCATATGGGAGCAGTGAGCCTAGAAGCACGCTGGGATTTCCATAGTGGGACTGAATACAAGTCAGTTCCCCCCAAACCCATTCCTGTTTGCATTTCACACAGTGTTGAGCCCCACTGCTCAAGCACCTTGCACTAGTCACACTCGCCTCATCAAGCAGCTCTCTGAAACAGAATAAGATCAGGCTTTGGCAGCACTGCCGCAGACACGTGCTTAAATATTGCTCACAGATGAGTTATTTCTTGCTTCTTAGTAACTTTAAATAGCTTTTATGCTCAGTGAACTCATCAAAGACTAGTATGTAAAGTCAGAAGCACTGAAACTATGAATTAGTCAAAGGACAAACGGGCCAGTTAGCCTACGAGGTGTTTCTTGCAATACAATATCTTGATGGCTGCCAGAGGATCTGATTTAAAGTCATATGCTACACCTGAATGTCATTTATGGCTCATAAAAGGAAATCTGTGTTTGAGTAACAATAAAGCATTTTCTATTAAAAAAAAAAATACAAACCCTTTCTCAGGGAGCAGATGTATTTTCATTTGCTCCGTGCCTGCCTGCAAGGCACATGGGAGTACCTGACAGTGCTGGGATCCTTTCAGACCAACAGTTTCACAGGAGGACTTGTTCCAGCACAGATTATGACACCTCAGATTTGATTTCTATTCACTTTTCCACTGAGGCTTTTATCAAAAGCCTCCTGGAAAAGCGAGAACCTAAGTGTGCTGCACACCTGTAGCCATCAGAGAAGGGAGAGGATCTATGGGCACTGCTGGGACCCAGACCACAATCCTTCACCAAACAGCAGCACAAAGCAGGGATCCCTCGTAACACTCCAGCTCCAGGATGGAGACATTTGGCCACACAGTATTCCAGCAGGCATTGCATCAGTCACTGCAAGACACACTCAATTCTCCCCAAGGACGTGTGTTTTCACCCATCTGTTACTGCCAAAAAAATCCTCCTTCACATCAGACTCCACGATGCCCAGAAGCACCTTTTTGGTCCTAATACAAATGTTAGCTGAGGAACTGTGCCATACATTCTTATAAGGTAAACACCCTAGAACAGATATAGATAGGTAGAGATATATATATAAAAAGAGATTTTTTTTTCCCCAACATACTTTTTTTTCTATTATACCCAACTCTGCAACGTCCCTGTTCCTCAAGGGCAGGCAGAAGGACCCTGCCCCTGCAGACTCCCTAAAAGCAGTTATGCTTATCTGTAGCAGACCAACCCTTGAAGAGCACAGCAGTCAGGGCTGAGTTATGCTGTCTCTAGCATCCTGCACAGATGAGGCAAGGAGAAAAGTTAGCTGCTTAACCCCAGGGCCTTCCCCTCTGAGGAGCTGTAACAGACCTGGTCGTGTAATGCCTGGAGACTTTACCTTCCAATTCATGCTGCAGGTCTTCTGGATCTCCTCGAATCTCAGCGCTACCCAGGATCTATAGGATCATCTTCACAAAGGCAGCAATGTACCATAAGGAAAGAAACAAAACACAGTCATTATAAAACTGTTCACTATCAGGATCTCAGAAGGACAAGGGCATGTTTTGTTCATAACAGAAATTTGACTGTAACCTTCACCAGCAAAGCAGTTGTGCTGAAGTTGCAAAACACACAAACCAGCAGCAGCGAGTCAGCATCATTGATTTAACATTAATTACCTTATGCTGGGACGAGGATGACATGATTCAAGCACTTCACTGGCTTTAAAAAGGTCTGCTCCATACATCCTGCACCAGCTGAATCTTGCCCTGCACTTTGACAGAATAACAATGCAAATTTAAAGCAGCTCATAACAAAGAGAAGAAGAGAGAAAAAAGGACTTAATGCTTTCAGGACTGCTAACCTTTGAATTCTACTGCAACTAAAAACTGCAGAGGATTGAACCTGGATTACTTCAAATATTCATTCCACTTGTGTGCTTCCATATTTTTCTTCTAGATGCTTATATCTAAGCTACAGACACAGCTTTTCATTATTTCCAATAGCTTTAATCTTATAAGTGCATCAGCCTTACCTTCCCAAAAAGTACATCCTTCCACAGACCCATTCCTCCCCATTCCTTCCCCTCTTCCTATGGTACCATCTCACATTCCTTTCACACAACCAACAACCGACCTGTTTGTTCCTGCATCAAAGAGAAGCTAGAAGGCAGCTCTGTGATTTCTTCTTTTTGGCTCATTTCCAAGGAGAAGGATGACAGCACCAAGGAAAACAAGTCAAACTGCTTCTATGTGTAGTTTTTCCAGATCTTTATTTTACAAAAATAACTTACAAATAGAGACAACTCTCAGAAGCAAGATCATTCATTCTGTGCATAAGGATATAGGTTTGTGAAGTTCGGGCATAGGAGTTAACAACTCTTACAATACTGTTAATTTTAACATGATGGTAGCTATATTACAAGACATACATTTCATGCTCCAGACACACGGGTATGACCACCACACAAAGCTATGGTCAATGAACCGTGCCAACGACGCACATCAGAGATCATTGCCATACTGCCTGTTATTGTCATCCTCTTACCAAGGAGAGTTAAAACCAAACGGCAGTCTAACACTCAGACTACAGCACTCTGGATACACTCAACAGCAATATACTTCAAATACATGATAAAAATATATTTCATTTTCAAATACAATTGTATAAGGTACACCGATAGCCAGAAAATAAAGTCTTGAGCTTTTAAATACAACACGCACTATATATAACATATACAATGAGACAAGAGGGAATCTACACATGGAAGGAAAAAGCTTATCCTGAAAACAAATGTTATCTAAGGTACACAATGGCTTTGTCTGCTAGGAAGTCAGTTCCATTTGCATAGCATTGTCAAGAAGTCCAGATTGGGCTAGGAGGAGATCAAACAAACACAAACAAAACGCTTAGTTTTGGTACCACTTCCATATTGCGCCCGATTCTACTCTTAAATTACAGTTTGCTATTTCTCTTTTGTAGGCTGTAATTCATGCCCCGTTCATAACAAGCATAAGGAAAGGGGGGGAAAAAAGTCAGAGAGTCAAGGAGGGTTCTTGCCGGAGTTGCAGTCATTTGGTATTTTGCTCCAGAGCAGAATACTCTGCTTCTGACACTCTGGAAGCATCAATAAGCTTAGTGAGACCAGTTTTGGCAGAGTACTTGAAAATAAAGGCTTTCATGAGCTCGTATCTGTAATTGCGATTAATGAAGCTATAGAGGATGGGGTTGACACAGCAATGGACTAGAGAGAAACACTGAGTGATGTGAAGCGTGGCGTACAAGAAGTTCTCCATTTGACAACTGAAGGGTATGAAATGAAGACTGTAGAAGATGTCGAGAAGGACAGTTGTATGGTAGGGTAGCCAGCAGACAAGAAACACGACGACATAGGAGAAAATGATCTTCCCGCTGCTCTTCCTCTCTTGATCACTGGAGGCAGAGATGGTCTTCGCAAGGAGGAAGTAAAAGAGAGCAATGACTGGAAAAGGGATAAGGAAGCCCAAAACGACAGAGATGAGCTCCATGCCAATCAACCATTCTTTGAAGCTCTCCTCGGGATACAAGGGACGGCAGTAGGTTTCATTGCTGGTAGTGACTGTCTTAAGGAAATAGGTGTCTGGCAGAGATGCAGAAAAGGCAAGAAGCCACACCAGGATGCAGATGCAGCGGCGGACTATCTTCTTCTTGCGGTTACTAGAATTGGTGAAATAGGCAACTGAGAGGTAGCGGTCCACGCTCATGCATGCCAGGAAGAAGATGCTGCCGTACAAGTTGATGGAAAATATAAGGTGAGTTATTTTGCACGTGATTTCTCCCATGTGCCACTGGTTATGCTGGACGAGGGAGACAACCCAAACAGGAAGCGTGATGACAACGCACAGATCGGCGACAGCCAAATTGAAGATGTAGAGGTGGGTTTCATAGCCAGTCATTTTGGCTTGGAGATTGACCCACACCACAACGGAGTTGGCCACCAGCCCTATGACAAAGATAAAGATGCAGAAGAAGGACAGGGTGTAGAGAAGGGCACTTTTGTTGAGAGTGCCGGGGCATGCCGTCGCATCTACTGTGATGCAGTCGCTGTTGTTGCACATCCAGTTGATCTCCGTTAAGTTGGCCTTTTCCAGAAAATCAAAGATTGAAGTCAAATCAAGCGCATTCATGTTTGCTTACTTCAGGTTTCGAGTCACCTACAGAACAAGTGGGATCGAAAGAAAAGACCTGAGTTAATGGGTATATTTCTGCTGTCCTCTTCAGACCAAAAAGCGCATACGAGACACGCTGCTTCAGTGATGTCCTGCTCTGCTAATACATTTTCATAAAAGAGGTCTGTGGAGTAAAGGAAGCTGAACAGACACACAACAAAACTCATCTGGTCCACGGAAGAGGAACAGCGCTAGCTTTGTGTGGGATTTTTTCCTGCAGCTCGTGTCTGACATCATCAGGTTGGCTATCATCCCCGGGTGTGAAATCCGCAAAGTACACCGTGGCCAAATAAATGTCAGGCAACTAAATCTGTCTTCTCCAGCATAAATGATGATACTATCGCTTTCAGCAGGGGAATCTTTAAGCCATTTTATCTGCACTCCCTCAAGCATAGTAGAATTGATCCGGCTGATACATGGTACTGTAAAACATTTACCACAAGTTCTGCTAAGCATCTTGTCAAGTCCAGCTCCAGCTGCATTAAGCAGAAATGGGGAACTAAGGGGCTTTGTACCCTCATCCAATTTTAAATTTAAATCCTGCTCCATTCTCCCTCCTTCCCTTCAATTCTATTTTACAAAGCATCCCCTGTGTTTAACGATTATCACGTAGCTTTGAGGAAAAAGAATCAGAGCTTGACCGCTGAGTAGATCTGCCGGGCTTAAGTTTTCTTTTTAGAAGAGAGCTTTGATTTACAAAATACTCCCCCATCACAGCTGGCTCCACAACAACTGCTTCCTCCCCACCCTCCCTCTTTTCTAAACCTACTTTCTTGCCTCTTCAGCCCCTTCCCCCATTGGCAGACAGCAGACAAAGCACTGGGCTACTTGTTCAGTTCCTTGCCAGCAGAAGGAAGGGACCCAGCAGACCCACGCGGCTCACACAAAATCCGAGCTGGACTGCTAATTATCATTGTGCTTTTGGGGCAGCGTAAAAGGCCTCAGCCAACAATACCACCCAAGGCTGCTCCTGGGCTAGCCAGACACCTGCCAGCCAGAGTTTCTTCCTGCTTCCACACCAGGGGATGCATTCCTCTCATTCCCCTGGAGCATCAGGCCAGGTTGCAAAAGGAGGAGCTGTCCCGTTTGTGCCACCCAACCTGGGAGGACAGCTGGGGTCCGGTGATGCCACAGGTGGATCACCCTACAGAGTTCTGAAGGCTCTGGAGCCACATCTGCAGTACAGGCTGTGCAGCAGCTGTATCTCTTCCAACACACAGCAGTAACACCAACAAGCTTTGCAGCCCATCCTTTTTCCCAGTTTAATTGCAACAAGTAGCTTTCTCTTACTCTGCTGTCTGGCCACTACAAGGCGGACAGCCTGAGCAAGCTGTCAAGGGATACAGTAAGTAAAGGATCTGTCAAGAAAAGCATTTCTCGCTCGCTGCCCTTGTTAGCTGAGAGTTTCAGCTTGCATTTCTCTCATCAATCCCCCTCCTTCAGATATAAAATCCCTTAGACACTTTAACATCCTGAAACATAGCCAGAAGCCTCATTCTTCTCCACAATTAAGATGTAAATCCTGTAACTGAGAGCATCCTTCTGCTTCCTGCTCCCAATCCCAGGGCAAGCATGCACTGAGCAACCAAGTGACTGAAACAAAGCAAGCCAAGGAAAGCACACAGAGAAACAACTTACTCAACCACTTGTATCTCTCAATGTCCTCACCTCCCCAAAGGATCTCTTGGGTGGGATGCAGGTTTTGGTGGGGCTTATGAGATAGCCTGCATTATGGAAACTCACAGGGAACACTCAGCTCTAGATGTTCTGGGATGTTGTAACATATGAAGGAGACAACAGAGTAAGGAAGAGTTGGGATGTGCTTCTGCACTAAGCAGTCTCTTCTTGTCCCCACAGGGGACTGGCACCTGGGCTGGGGAAACTTCATGCCTCTGAAAAGGGTTCACAAAGCATCTTAGTCCTCTGTCTGCATAATCAGCTCTTCCCAAAGCTCCCACCCATCCTGCCTCGCCACAGCCAGGCTCTGCCAGAGACAAACTGAGGAAGAAAAGGGAGATAAGGGGGGGAGATTACAGGAGAAGATTCAAGGCACTATTGTCCCTCTGGAAGGAGAAGCTGGTGGCACTAACAATGAGGAGGGCCACGCACACAGCCTGGAGAGATCAAATCTCTCCACAAACAGGGCCCAAATTGGCCCCGTGAGGGCATCTAGCTCACTGCTGCAAACCTATCCAGCCTTCCAGTCTTTCATCTCACTGGCATGCTGAAAGACAAGGCTGATATTCAAACCAAATTAACTGCTTGTTTGGCTAAGTCCTCTCACCTCGCCTCAACGCACTCAAAGCAACCTGAGCTCTCCCTGCCAGCATAGAACCTTGTGCAAGGGCAAGGCGATGCTCCTAAAGAGCTGTCACAGGGAATGTCACGCACACACCTGAGTCCCCATTGCTTTCTCCAGTGGAAGACGCAGGTTCCAGCGTCCTGACCCAGCTGTGAGACCCGCAGAGCGGCTGGGATCGGACTCGACCAGGGGTCAATCCGCCAGCACGAGGTGCTGCGAAGCTGCAATCTGAACCTGCGCAACCCCAACTAAGTTCAGGGGGCTGCATCCGAGCGATCACCGCTTCCCCCTACAGCCAGCAAAGGGAAATGAGATGCTCTGCGTCTGCTAGGCTCGAGCTGGGACGACAAGCCTCGCCGGTTAGCGAGGGAGAGGAGCAGACAGCCCAGCTCTCCCCGCCACCTGTGAGCGCCGAGCCCAGAGCGACGTTAAGCGGGCAGATCCCGCTCCGCACGCTTCGCTCTCCGCGGTCACACGCGGCAGCGCAGCCCGACCTCCCGCTCCGCTTCAAGCCCCATCTCCCACGCTCCGCACTCCAGAGGAACAGCCGCGTCACCCCATAGCACAGAGCTAGCCGCGCCACCGCGGGACGCTCTGCCACCTCAGCCCCGACCCGGCTCCCCCCGCGGCCGCCCGCCATGATTACCTCACCGCCCGCGCGCCGCCCGCTCCGAGCCACTGAGCGCCGCCCGCCGCCGTCGGCCCTTATAGCGGCAACGGGAGACCGCCTCCGGAGGGCGGCCCTGCCCGGCCCCGCCGCCCGCCCCCGGCCCGGGACAGCTCGAGGGGCTCGCCCAGCCGTTCGTGTACCTCAGGGCCGGCTCGCGTGTGGAGGGAGCCTCAGTCAGCAGCAGGGAGGGAATCAAATTCTCACTTCTGCTCGCAAAGCAGAGAAAAAAGTAACGCCAAGGAAAAGTGATAGGGTGTAAGAGACGTGCCAGCTACGGCTGAAATCCATCCCGCTGCATCTCTCCTCGTTAAAGGAAAGCCGTCTAAGTACCTGTCCTGTGGGCTCCATCAGAAGAGGGGTGGCCAGCAGGGACAGGGAGGTGATTGTCCCCCTCTATTCTGCTCTTGTGAGGCCCCATCTGCAGTACTGCGTCCAAGGGTGGAGCCCCCAGTACAAAAAAGACAGGGAGCTGTTGAAGAGGGGCCAGAATGATCAGGGGACTGGAGCTCCTCCTTATAAAGACAGGCTGAGGGAGCCGGGCTTGTTCAACCAGGAGAAAAGAAGGCTGCAGGGTGACCTGATTGCAGCCTTTCAGTACCTAAAGGGAGCCTACACAAACAGGAGGGGAATCAACTCTTTGAAAGGGCAGATAACAGCAGGACAAGGGGAAATGGTTTTAAGTTGAGGGAGGGAAGATTTAGGTTGGATGTCTGGGGGAAGTTCTTTACAGAGAGAGTGGTGAGGTGCTGGAACAGCTGCCCAGAGAGGTTGTGGATGCCCCATCCCTGGACGTGTTCAAGGCCAGGTTGGATGGGGCCCTGGGCAGCCTGGTCTAGCATTAAATGAGGAGGTTGGTGGCCCTGCATGTGGCAGGGGGGTTGGAGATTCATGATCCTTGAGGTCCCTTCCAACCCCAGAGATTCTGTGAATCTGTGAAATCACGCAACCGTTCCGCTTGGAAATACTTCTAAGATCACCCAGTCCAACCCCCAACCCATCCCACCATGCCCACATCCCTCAGTGCCGCATCTCCACAGTTATGGAGCAGCCCCAGGGTCCCCCACCACCTCCCTAGGCACCTGTGCCACTGCATCACTGCTCTTTCTGAGAAGAAACACTTCCCAGTATCCAACCTGAACCTTCCCCGGTGCAACTTGAGGCCATCACCTCTAATACAATTGCTGTTACTGCCACCTCACCACAGCCTCTCATCACAGAGCTGTAAAGGTCAATGAGGTGTCCCCTGTTACCCTTCTCTGGACACGCTCTGTGTTTTTCTTGCAGCCAAAACACCATCAAAAAGAATGCATTTTGTTTACCCAATGATACTCAAACTTATTTCCGTGGGCAATCAAAAGCTTCCATTCAAACATCATCAAGCAGCAGAGTCCATGGATACATCAGATTTATACTCCGCAAAGGGCATTAATCAGCCTCAGTTTCTCTGCCAGCAAGGAGGAAGTGATTAAGCTGTGGACATGACACCTCCCACACTGATGTTAGCCTATCCCACTGTGGTTTGGGTGCCAGGAAGGAGAAGGACAGAAGGATGAGACCCTCCCTGTCCCACAGATGGAGCAGGTGAGATGAAACATGCCTCACTCCCTTCCTTGGATGAGGATAGTTAGATCCTCCCAATTTCACAGCTGTCAATGAGCAAAGCATTTTGGCATTCACTTAAATTCTGTGTGCTCGTTGAAGCCCGTGAATGCTGGCAGAATTGAAGTATGATGAGTTCAGACAACGACAGGCTTCAGTTTAAAAATAAGTGTGTATTGAAGCCCTTGGCTAAATCAGGCTCTGAAAATCTTAAGTAAAAAAAAAAAAAAAGTACTGTTGCAGAAGTCCAGAGTCACTCAGACAAAAAAGCAAGCAGCTTTTCCTTACTTGGTGCACCAGAAAATAACATCAAGGATTACAGCCTCTCCAAAAATACCATCCAGCATCTGCAACCACAAGGCTGCTCGCTGTCCAGGAGTTGCAGGCAGCCTCATCTCTTGCATCTGCTGAGAGCAGGAGCAAAACCCTCGCTGCCCTCACTCCCCTTCCAGGTCCCTCCCTCCAGCTATCTTTTACAGGGAACACGTTCCACACGCAGGAGGGACGAGCCCATTCCCTTTCCATTATGAAAGCCAGATTTTGCTCGGTGCTCAGGGATGAAATGCTTGAGCAGTAAGCAAAATAACACAGTCTCAAAGAATTGCACAACACAAAACCATCCCCCTACAACACAGCGAGCAGAGCTGCGGAAAAGCTGGGCACCCAGATAAGATCAGCACAGGGCCAATGCTACTTGCTTGGTGAGATTAGTTCTGCTCTATAACCACTGTTAAAAAGGCAGTCCAACCACAGCCTCCAGGAGATGCGAGCTCTGAGGCAGCTCATCAAGCAGGAACTCCCTGCACAGATGCAGCAAGATGAGTTCTTACCCATCCAAATCTCCTTCTCTCCCGGGATGTGGATTTACACCATGAGAACCGAGCAAGAACTTGGTCAGCAATTGTAATGTGGCTTGACACCTGGAGTTTGCCATCCCAGACTGCAGGCAGTGAAGAGAAACTCTAAAGACTGAATCCTGAACATCAGGCAACTGCTTGACAAAGCAAGCTGCCCCAGCCTCCAGCTCCACAGCTGCACTTCTTGGTTTGAAGGGTGACAGCTAGCAGGCTGTCTTCAGCAGCAGGATTCTCCCAGCACAAGCCTCTGCTATCATGTCTGTGGGCAGCACAGGGCTATGCATGAAGTCAGCACTCTGCTGTGTTCAGCGCTGAAGATAAACACACATAGGGGTGAGCTCTGACCAGTGGAGATAGGTATGACAGTTCTCTCTATGAGAGAAAAGTCAAGGAAAAGAAAACACAGCTGAATAACTTGACCCGGGGTATTTGGCACAACATGGTGCTGAAAGCTGGGTTATTATTTAACTGCCTGCCCAATAAGCCTGAATTAAAGCAGTATCTTTCTTTTCCTTCAAAAGCACAAGTTCTTAGTGCTTACAGTAAGGGGGGCAATGGGCAGGAATAGAAAATCCAGGATTCCACAGCGTCCCTTGCAGCCTCTCCTTGCTGGTACTTTGAATGAGAGCTGAAAGCCCCCTCACTTTCTCTTAAGGCTTCCTTTTCCAACTATGAGGCAGATGGAAGCAAACACCAAGCCCTGCCCACTTAAGTCAATAGACTTAAAAAAAGCAATTTGGCAGATTCAAGTGTTAGAAAGATTGGAGGGGAGTGAGAGAGAAGGCCAATATGGCAAATTACATGCGTGTGTTAGGAGGGGAAGCATTAGAATTGCACATCAAACTTTAAAAGGGGCAAAGGGAAACGTTTCTCCATTGCATAAGAGAGGATATGCATGCAGCAGCAGCAGAAGACGGAAACAGCATCACCGAGCGTGTCTGAAGGCAGCAGCATCATGCACAGGCAGAGAACAATGTGCTGGCCAGGAGTGCAAACACCCACGTTGAGATGACAAAGCCAGGGATAGCTGAACAGACAGGCGCCTGCAGGAAATCAGGCTGTGATACATGAAGTGCACAAAGGTAAAAAGCTTCCTGCAGTCCTGGGAGTCAGTGCCAGCGGGCTGCTAGATGGAAACGCAGCACTCATTTCCTCTCCCCTTCACCAGGGTTCTCTGTCAGTCACGTTCCACACTCTGTAAGACATCTGGAGACACCTCTGTGAAATGGCAGGAAACAAGGAATGTCCAGCAGGCTGTGACTGTGGCACCGTCCAGTTTTGCTTCCCCTTCAACAGAAAACAATTAAGTCATTTAATGCCCACCCAGACATGTGCTGGTAGTGCTGGGTGGGACAGGCAGCGTGCCCTGCAATGTTGTGCTCACACTGAGCTTCTTGGGATGCCAAAGGGCTTCAGCATCTGAGGTAGCATACACCAATAGGCCTGTGAGAACCTGCAGCTGGAGATCAGCATTTTCCAGGCAGAGAGGATACTGCCTGTAGCATTTACCTCTTGACAAGTGATGATGAACAGTGCTGATTCAGGGAGACAATATAAAGCACGCACCGCTTCACATGTGTCTCAATCAATGGGGCCACCCAGGATTGTAGCTGCTCTTTGTCTTTCTCTTCTGAAGACACAGAATGAGAGAGGTTAATGCCAGTGCCCCTTGCCCAGCCACCCTGCCAGCGCTTTCTGTCGATCCCAGCAGGATTTGAAGCCACTGATCCCAGCAAGTTTCCCAAAAGCCAAGCACAGGTACAGCACGCATCCTAACAGCCAAGGGAAGCACCAGTAAAGCAATCAGTTCACCATTTTCAAAGCTAAGAGAGCTTTCAGGAGAAATCAATTGGCAGCTTAATTAGGAATATTACCCACATAGCTAATAATTATCTATAACAGCTCTCTTCTTCACAGCTCACTTCTGCTTTACTCCTCTTCCACTAAATAAAGGTGTTACCTGCAGATGTTATTTGTGGCTTCATAATCTACTGTCAGAAGCATTATAGCAATTTATTTGAAAATGCACTGGACCGTGACCACGAGGAAGATAGAGTAGGACTATGAGCAAGAAATCCTGCCTAGAGCAGTCAAGCAGATAGCAACAAAGACTTCAGAGGCATTGATTTTTATATAAGCACTGCTCCAAACTTCTCTCCATATTGCACTGTCTCAGCCCAGCATCACAACCTGCACGTTTTAAGGGTAGATTCTAACAGAAGCCGTGGTACAGAAGGTTGGGTTTGACTTTGCAGCAGCAACAAGTGTTACAAGTGACACAGCAGAGCAGAGAGTGGGGAAAAAAAGGATTTGAATCAGGATGGTGGAACCCCCCTCTCCACCTTCCTTTGCTTCCTTGGGAAAAACTCTTGCTAGGTGTAAAATGACCGAATGCTACACACCGGTAAGAAATAAAAAATTCATTAAATCATAAATCTTTTGGAAAGGGGATCTACTGGGGAGATTATATTCACTTTTCATAGACATATTAATTCAACAGTGGCATATCATATTGTTCTCTGTGGGGAGAAGAGACACATTGTTTTAAAGCATGATATTTAGAGCAGTCCTTTAGGAAGGAAAGCAAATATAATCTTGGCAAGGAAAACTGACTACATGAGCACTGAATAAGGGACATAAAAAGCAAGGCCCAAGTCCCAGCTGCCGAAAGTCAGCATAACCTGACTGGAGTTACTGGAGCTAAGCCCATGCATGGGAGCTGAGAATGAAGGTCAACCCAATTGAGCTACAGTTCCTTGAAATGTTAAGTAAATGAACACAAAGGGTAATTTTTTACTGGGCCCATTGTGAACGCTGTCTAGCCTGCTAGCAAACACCAATGGCAGGTGAGACAACAAACGCGTTACAACTAAGTTCTCCACAGGTTTGATGTTTGTTGGGTGGGAATTATCTGGCATTCTCCTTTGGAACTCCGACCGCTGCTGGGCTCAGCACTAGAAATTGCCAAGCTCTCCCAGCTCCCAGTCCAGCCAGACTCTCAGGGTTTGGGTAGAATGGATGGCCAGCTGCAAAACAAGGGCTCACTACAGCCCTGCTTCAGCTGCTGCCTCTCTCTCCATTCCCCAAGAGCCTATGGTCCTAGAACGTCGCATGGCCAGAAGTGTCTGCAGCAGATCGATATCCACAGGTCTTCCACTCGTTTCAAATCTTCCCTTTCTCCCTACCTTTAGGGCAGCTGCATAGGAGATGAAGGCTTCCTCCAGCTTGGCTTGAAGCGTGGAGAACGCTGGAATTGACTGCTGTGCATGATTCCACTCCAGATGACAGCTCTCTCACAGAATCCTACAAGTATCTTCATTTTGTATTGCATCAGATGCACAAGACTGAATCAAGATGGTGCTAGGCACTTGGGTGAATCAAAAACTTAGTGGAAAGTTATCAATAAAGCTGTAAACTTTTGCCCTTTAACAGCGGTAATTTTTTCCCATGCCAGTTGTAATCAGTTTCTTGTAACCTAGAGGAGCTCCCTTGTGAGCCATAGGATCCTCATACCTGGGAGGGGATGTTCCTTTCACCGCCAGTCACCTAAATGTTATTGCCTGCATTAGCCAAGAAGCAACGCTGCACTCCCAAATATCTCCAATTCACATGCCTCTATTTTCAAGACTGGCTCAGATCAACTTCACACAGCTCCATAAGCACAAGTCCAATCATCCCAAACAGGTTCAATGTTGTTCTGCCGTACAGCTGCTCTCATAATAGCTATGGAGAGGTCTTCGACATGCATACAAATTAACATACAGTAACTGTTCATAACCATGACCTTTCTCTGCAAAAACTTGCTGTGCAAATTATACTCTCATAACTTGTTCTGGAGGAACAAGGGTAAAACACAACCAAGCTTACCAATGCAAAGTAACAATGACTGCTGGACAGTTCTTGCACAATACAGGCAAGTCAGAACCTTAACCAGCTCAAGCACAGGGAACTCAACTCGGTCCATCAGAAAGGTTTAATGAAGGGGCTTGCTTATCACCTGGATTACCTGGGACTTTTGGCAAAAATAAAAGTGCACACACATGCAAGCCAGCCTTGGGTTCTCAATTTCCTCGTTGCTTTTGCCTACACAGCTATCTCAGTCAAAACTTCCCCATCCATTCCAGTGAGGTGTGAAATTGGAAGCATCACTGCTCCCGCTGACAAAAGGACACAGGGGACTGTTCCTAGGTAATTAAACGAGTAGGTAAAATTAAAAGGGCTAATGCAACATCAACCACGAACGGTCAAAACAACAAAGTCAGAACACGCAAACCACAAAGATTCTTAATGCAACATTAAGTCAGCTGTACATTATTTCCTAAAAACGTATTTAACTGTTGCTTGGGATGAGGAACACTAATAAGGCTGTATTTCTGCCCACACCTGGGCCAGGTTCCCAACCGAGACTGTTTATACCAGCCAAGCATTTGGATGATTTTCTTTTCTCCTGTAGAAACTCTTGTTGCTGGGGTTCTTAATGTTGGCTATAGGTGCAAGTCATGCTGGCAGCTGGTCACAGCCAAATGCTGTAGGAAGCCAGAGGGGTCTTAGACTACTCCAGAGCTCAAATTATCCAATGTGAGCACAAGAAGGCAGCCTGTACTTTAGCTTCTGTCCAGGGCCCCTTGGAAAGTTAATCCTATCCGATTACACCACTTTTTTTTTCCATAGAAGAAATAAACAGTCTTTTGTACTAAACATAAGGCTGCCTTCTTTTGAAGGAAGATTTATCATCCAGGATAAATTCATGAGTTCATTCCATTTTTGTCCCAGCTCTTCAAAGCAGTGTTCTTACTCTATGATGCAATATCATTTGGTTTTGCCTGTGTGCCAGACAGTCCCCAAAGGAGATGCCATTTTTTGTTCTCTTTGAGAAAAATGAATTTAAAAAAAAAAAATCATGAATGCAGAGCAACCCATCAGTTGTTTAAAGCCTGCACACCAAATTCCTCACACACACATCAGAGCCATGAGTACACACGTGCACAGAGCTGGGACCAGTCAGGAGACCACAAATACTAGGAATGCAATCAATGACATTGTTCTATGAAGAGCAGTAACCAGCGGATGACTAAATCTGCTCTGAAAAGCCCCGTGAGAGGTCCCAGCTCTGAGACAAGAAGGATGGCTCGCTTGCCTTCCCCACACCAAAAGGGACTCTGTTGTATACTGAACTGAAACCTTGAACTTATTACAATGTCACTCTGTCTTTGGAACCGATATCCTGTGGGGGAATCTTCTGGGAATGTATTTTGGTTCAGATGTGGGTCAAGGAGAGTTGACTTGACCTGAAAATAAATCCAGGCAATCTCAAGCCGAAGAGCTATTGACTACTGTTTGCAATACAATAAAGCAAGGAGATCAAACTCAGTTGAAACTCGGGGTTGACATAAATCCAAGGAGAAAGGGGAACAAGAATATTCATTCACTAACATGACAAAGGGGACATTTTTGCTTGCATTGGCAGAATACAGAACAGGGCCTGGAAGTGCTTCCCAGGCAGCACTTTAAGTCTCACATATGGTGAGCACTGTTTAGCTGGACTGATATCTTCAACAGACTGGCAGTAAGATAAGAGGCAATACACATACACGTGTGAAAAGGTTTTGTTGGCTTTTCTTTTTACGTCACTAGATGGAGTTTCCTCTGTTTGCGCACAGGGCAGCTTTTGTGAGAGGTATTTTATATGGATCCCCAAGGAAAGACCTCAGCAGACAGGCTCTAAGCACTATTGTTTGCACGTGTACGTAATAACACTCAGTTACTTGGTTTACAGGCCAGGAGAAACTCACAGCACTCGCTGCAGGTCCAAGGTCAGATCCTGCCCCAGCTCATGTTAAGGGGAGTCATACCACTAACTCCACTGCACCTAGCATTTCTCTACCAGGCACCACTCAATACCTAATCTGGCTTCTAAACATGACTAGAATTACTGTTTGTCCTAGAACTGGCTCATCTCAGGTTAAATAGTATCACGTGGTTTAGAATTTTTGCCAGCAGTAATTATCCACTCCATTTTGCTCAAGGATCTGGTCAAAGCCCCCTAGTCTTCCCGGTCTATTTCTACTCCACTCTCCCCCCAAGCACACAGAGACAGACACCTTCCCTTCACGTTGCCAGGAAAGAAGTAGAGCAGCCCAGTTCATTGCAGCATAGAGGACACGACAGGAGTCCTTGATGGATGCATCCTTAGGGGATGCAAGAGTGACCAGCGTAGCTACTTACAGGAGATGAAGTTACTCCCTATGGCACAACTTGAGGGCCACATCCCCCATCCGAGTGCAACTATTCCTAAGCAAAACCCAGGCAAAATTCTTCTTATTATTTCACAAAACCCCTTTTATTAACTAACTTGCACTCAAATGCAGATGATCCCATTGTTTAAAGAATAAATTACACTGCTCCTTCCCATCTCCCACAGTGACTGCACGATTCCTGGTCAGACTGTATAATGTTGGACCTAAGAATGCATACACTCAACTAAACAAGGCTGCAATAGGAAGTCAAGACTTCAAGCTCTCTAAGAGGGGAAAAAAAAAAGAGTTGAGTGTGACAAAGCAACACCAAGTCTGAGACCTTTTCAGATGAAATAAAGCATTTTAAGAGGGACTAAGTATTCAAACTCAGCATTTCACATCTGCACGCTTTAAAGCTGTCAGGAACTCCATCCCTGACTCAAGCAAAGTCACCAAAATTTGGGATTCTTTTACTGCAGTGTGAAAATTAACACTTTCAACTGCCATTAGCAGTTCAACAGCTCTGCTCAGGCTTGCTCCAAAAACAAGTTGCGCATGAATATTCAGCCATCCAGTGCTGTTTGACAGTAGGCTCCTGGTAAAGATCTGTCCTACAGAGCAGGTATGAGAGAAGGAAGGCATGGATGGGTCTCACTGGAGTGTCTTTACAGGTGGGTGCCTAGAGGAACCTGCACCCTTTTAGCTGCTACCTGCCTCCTTCTTTGCTCAGGTATCAAGTGCAACATGAAGCACTCTGAGCCCTTCTAGTGTGGCTTGACAGACAGCATCTATAAAAATAACTGGAAGAAAGGGAGAATTATTGATTATGAATTTGATGTGGAGGAAGTTCAGCTCTTCTTTCAGTGCACCAGTTTGCAGAGTAAAGCTGCAGCCACGTTAATTCCATCTCTCCTCACCAGGTTCAGTCAGTCATTCCTCTGGTTCAGACAAAATGCAAGGAGGGGAAGTCAGTAAGGATAGGGGAGGAAAAAACACAAAAAAGCAATCCATGACACTATTTCACAAATAATCACATTCCAAAGCACATAAGAAACGCCTGCAGAGTGGTGAAAGCCAAGCAAACGTCAAAGGAAAAAGCAATGAGCTCTGTTATAAGCTTCCCTATGCTACCAGATGGATTCTTACTGACGCCTAGAGCTTTAAAAACACAAGTAAAGTATCCCTTGGTGGTGATTCATCCCCACGCCAGTATGAAGTCAGCGTGTGCTGAGGGCAGAGGCAGATGGGTGTCACGCTATAGGAGAGGAAGGCACAGGATTTAACACAGAACCTGCTCCACCTCTGCCTTTTTTCCAGGCAGGATGGTTCCATCCTTTCCTCCTGGAGGATCTTTCCTTTTGAGGGTCCACTCCAGCACCTTCCTGTGGCACTGAATTCCACAAGGCAGGAAAGAAACATAAAAGTCTTCCAACTGTAATATTACTGGCATTTGTCAGAGAGGAAAAAAAAAAAGCAGATTCCTCAAGGCCTCTTTCCATTCTTTCAATAGCCAAAAAGTTGCTCATCACCTGAACAGCTTTCAAGTGAAAAGCAAGAAATGAATTTGGAGCTGATCTCAAGTCTACTGGTGCAGATAAGTGAAGTCCTTGCAACCCTCAGCACAGCCAGGAGAGCAGAAAGCAGAGAACCAAGCTCCTCAGAGTTTACAATACTTGAAGCAGGAAAGCCAGGAATGCGAACACAAAATAACGTTTGAAGGGAAATGGTGACTATGTAAGGGATGAAAAGGCAGATTATATTTACAGGGTCATGGGATAAATTTAACAAGTCTCAGCTGAAACAAATTGAAACCCAATTAGGCATCCAAAATGAACCAGACTCCTGAGCCATTTTATTAACTCCTGCTTGCAGCATTAGAGAAAAGGCACTTTCAAAAGTAAGTTGCAGATAGCTCTGGAAAAGCCCTCTCACATTGTAGCAAGTTTTATAGAGACAAATCAGGTATTAAACTTCTCACCAGCAATTGTTTTGCTTGGCTGTCTTTAAAAATAGGCAAAAAGAAAACAGAAAGAAAGCTGCCTCGCATTGCCTAATGGAAACGTCAAGCTAACCCTGGAAAATTCCCTGGCCCACCAATAGAGCTGGTGGGGAGCTTTCCAACAAGGCAGCCTTTGGGTAGAGAAAAGCAGTACAGGAAAAAAAAGTTGTGTTTCACGGAATAAAAAAAATAAAGCAATTTTCCAACAGGAAAAAAAAAAAAGGAAAAAGCTGCTTCATTTTAAGGCAAGGTTAAGTCATCGTTTGGTCTAAATCAGCTGCTGCTCCCCACCCTCTGTGGGTGAAGCTTTCTGCTGGAGCTCCACCAGCATGCTTCACCCAACTCTCTCCTAAGAGAGACGTTGCATCATTGGCACTGCTGTTGTGTCTTGAGAAACACGGCCCAGCAAAAAGAAAATAAGGCAGCTGCTCCAAGCTGATTGCTTTTTCTTGCAGGGGCCTGCCATGTTTCTTGCACAGCAACAGGAGTTAATCTTCTTCTTGACACAAGAAAGAAAAGATACATTTGCTTTTTTAAGCAAGCTGCAATGAAGAGAGTTAAGATAGTGATGTCAACCACCACGGCGTAATCAGCACACACCCAGAGCTGGCTCCAGTAGCACGGGGAAAGAAGGGAGATTTATTTATGAAATACTGCACGAAGCCAGGAATCTGAGCTGTGAGCAACAGGACAGCAACCGGGCCAGCTGCGATGTCTGCTGGTTGGGTTAAACCCTCCGGATCCCTGAACAAGCTATTAGTGGCCAGATGAATGAAAGCAAGGTCAAAAGGCACTTCCAACCAGCCTGTGAGATCCTCACCAAGGAGTTAATTGCTCAGGAAAGAGGCCCACACATCAAGATTGGTCTATAAAGCTGACGTTAGGCACACTTTAGGGGCTGTCCTGGTTTTCTAGGCAGGCACTTCCATCCCTCAGGACTCAGGTACAAGGTATGTGTTTGCATAGGCAGGTGTTTGGTTAGCGGGGCAGGCAGCCACAGTCAGGCAAACATCAGGACCAGTGTCCAGCTGCTGCAGGACAACTTGAGTGAGGAACGTAGGTGATGAGGAAAAGGAGGATGGAGTTTAGAGCAGTCAATGGGACGGGGCTCGTAGCTGATCTCACAAGCAGGCCCAGTGTATTTACACAGAGCAAAACATACTTATTCCATCCGTACTGCACTGATCAATAACGCTTTGTGATTTAGCAGGAGTTCAGGGCAGGTCAATATGCCATGAACAATTCCTCTGCTACAAAGATCAATGCTCTTCAGCGACTGGTATTTACTTCATGCCGTGAGCAATACAACCACTACTGGTTCTGCATGAGCTAACAGGAGCAGACGGGGTGTGCTGATGATATCTCAAGCCCTCTGGATCTGTTTTGTCAAAGGACCAGCACGCCCTGCCTTACTACAAGAGGTTGTTGGCATTCTGTAAGCATGCCTGGAGGTACAGTTAGCCAGAAATCCCAGCATCAAGCGAGAAATAAAGGCCATTCCTTTATGTTTACTTACTGATCAGCAATCTTCTTGGCCTTCTCACCAAAGGAAAACACGCACTCGTAGTATTTCAACCAGCATTTACATCCCTGTAACAAATCCACACAGATTAGCACAGCACTTTGACTGGGGAATACAGCCAGATTGAGTGGCTACATGTAGTTTTTACCCAGCCTCAAACACATGAAAGAGATCTAGAGCACTGGGAAAGCAAAAAAGGCCTCTTGGAGAAGATACAAACCTGATGCTGTCATTCAGAGCATCGGATGGTCAATAGCTCAGGGAGCTGCTACACATGGCTGCTGAGCCTTTTGCACAGTAAGCTCCCTTTAGATACTTCTCATCCTAATAATCAGCTGAGCGTGCTTCAAGCAAAGTTAATGCTGAGGAGAGAACTGTCTCAAGTGATGGAAAACAATGTGATTCATTTCCATTTGGTTTGAGACGGCTGGAAATAGCATAAGCCTTCCTCAGCAGCAGGAAGCACTCAAGGAAAGCAAGGCTTTTCATCTCTTTCATACATTCATTGAGCTCTTTGAGTGACACCTGAAGCTTCAGAGTTAGGAGGTTGCTTCTGATGTCCTTGATTTACCAGTTCAACATGAAACAGCCCACGGGGCACTCATCAGAAGGAAGGTAAAACAGCACTACTGAAAGCCAAAACATGGCTTGGCTCAAGAGAATACAAGAGATGCATGTCCCAGCCATCCAAGTTCAGATCTGGACAAAAGCATTTCATGCCAACTGTAAGGAAGATGATTTAGAAAGCAAAATTACCATGTTTATAACCTTCTCAGAAGCTTCAGCTGCTCACACTTGTCACATAGGCTCAGGATAACTTCAGGCTTATCATTTCTATCTTCTTTTTCCCTCGTGCAGTGATGCAAGGACTTCCACGTGAGCCTGGTGCATGTCAGTGCCATCTGTAATGATCCTCATCCTGGGGTATTTACAAATGTTTTATTGCACTTGCTGAAAAACATGAGAAGAAATAAATTATGAAGCATCTCAAGTGATCAGGCGTTCCCAAGAGGCACTTAAGACACTTAGAAAAATAATTTACAACTGTATTATAAGAACCTTTGTCCTTTAAAGCAATGCTGATACTGCAGAAAAATATATAAATCAATGCTGCAAAGGGCTTTAAAATTGCTGTTACTTAAGGTTTATGAGGGGGCTGTGATGGTCAGGTTAAACGTGGGGGCTGAAATCCTACAAACCAGCATTCTGTGGGCTTTGGGCTGTCAAATCCAACTGAAGTAGCTTTAAAAAAAGGGTTAGAAGATGGAGAACCTGGGAAATTTTACCTGCTCTGACAGACACAAAGCCATCTGAACTACTGAGGAGCAGGAAAGCTTTAATGCACACAAGGCTCTAGCTCCCAATGGCAGGGAGATCTGAGCAGCTGCCCAGCCATCCTTTGATGGCTGTCATCTTGGGAAACAAGAACCTCATGTGGCAACAAGTGGAACCAGGGGGCTGTGACATTATATGGGGGACAAAGCTGAGAAGAAAAGCGTACGTCAGCAGCTCCAACGTGAAGGTAGGAAGTCCAGCCTTGGTTGAGCCCAGAATCCAGAATGTTGGACAACATCAGCCCAGTGTCAGACCAATGCCTTTTTATGAGCACTGCCTCCTCTCTCAAGCAGTGATAACTCGATACTACAGAGCATTCCTTCATCATGAGAACGATATAAAAAATAGAGGCGAGTCACAAAGCAAACGTGCCTTTCAGTGAGCCATTCTAATATTGATCAACCCGAGGAATTTGTGTTAGTAATGGATGGAAAATAAAAGCTCTCAGCACATAGGACAGGACGGCTGTTGCTCAGTTCTTTGGATCTCTTTGTTGCCCTATCAAGCCACCACACCGACCTGCTGGGCTCGAGCCTCTCGATGCTGGAGGCTGGCTCCAACAGCTTTCCCTTGCTGTCTAAGAAATTATCACAGGAGACTTCATGCAATTAGGCCTTAAAAATGGGGATGTCAGTCCTCCAGAGGAACTAAGCCTGTTTCATGAAAGATCCCTCAGCCTTTGCTTTTGCTGCAAAAGGTGTTTTTTTACCCTGAGGATTTATATCAAAGCAAGCCACTATAGCAAAAACACGGCAAGCCACTGTAGGTTTTACCTCTTTGTAGCTTCTCGAGGTGAATGTCAGTGGAAAAAATCTCAGAGGTGATGAGGCACAGAGATGGCCATCTAAAGTTACATACATACCTTGGAACAGAAGAAACCCACCCCTAAGTTTTTAGTAAAAGACAAACCTGGTCTCTCTCAGCAACAGGACTCCGTTTAGAAATCAGCAATGGAAGTGTAATAACCTGCACAAAGCCAGCAACCTCACACCTCACAATCTCTCCCCGTGGACTGAAGCCTCTCTCAGAACCCGGTGCCTTTTTACAGCCTGACTGAACACAACCCATCCCAGGGCTGCTATACCTTTCCCAGTCACCGCTTGCACTTCTTTGGACCGGCCGGGTGAAGGAGTTTGTAAGGCAATATTTCTCATAGGCTGTGGGCAGCTCTGGCCCCTGATGGGATTCGAGGTACGCTCTGCAAACTGCTGATCCTGCACACAAGAAACAACAGAGGGAGGATGTACAGGGATAATATTTGTATTGAATGTATGTTTTTTCAAGAGTACTTGAAAACCAGCTGTGTAAGCAAAGCAAAAAGGGACAAGGATTGCACAGCTCTGCAGGACACAGTCTGCAAGTCAGTCCAGGAATAAGGTGATGGAAATTTAGGGTTCTGGATGGTGTTCAGTTTTCCTGCTCCTTCCATTTCTGAACCTCTCTGATCTGTGTTATCTCAGCTCCTTTCAGAAGAGAGCAACCTTGACATAAAAAGATTATAGCGACTTGACTGCTTTAAAGCTTGTGAACCCAGAAAACTGCTTTTTCTGGCACTTTCAACCTACCTGGATGTAAACTAGCACCCAAGCAATCTGTATGATGCAGCCACATCTCATACAACTTCATGGAAACCACGAGGCTGACGAGATCAGTGATAGGAGACACCAGTTCTCACTCGACCACTCCCTTAACGTATCTCTCTGAAGAGCCCAAGGGCAATTGCTTGGCCAAAATCAATCCTGCATCCACTCCAGCCATGAAAAAAAAACCATGAACAAAAGAGAATCAAAGTCTCCCAAAAGATCCAGCCTCATAAAGCCCTCAAAAGCCGCAGCAGACATACCCATTAGATAGATCCAAGCCATTCTTAGAAAGACACCCCAAGGGAAAACAGTTCCATCTATAGAAAAAAAACTAAATGGTATATTTTGGACGGGCTGTACTCCCACAGCACATATCGCAGAAGCTATTTCTGCACAGTGGCCACTCACGGAGAGCATCCATCATTCCTCCAGTTACATGAGCATTCCAGAAGATGTGGTCTAATTTCTCCTTTTTGCTCCTGGACATGGTGTTTATCGTGAATAGGAAACAGAGCAGCAGACAGGAGAAAAAAAAAGATTACAGTGTCCCTTCAAAGTTAACTATGTTTATTGCTTCTATTTCTCTGCTAGTTTCTCATGGATTACTGTTGCTTCTCTGAAGATACCCTCCCTCCCCCATTTTCCTCTCCCCAGATAGGGAGCATTACCTTGCATTACAGCCCCACACTCACCCTGATACCTTCTCCATTTACAAACCCATCCTTAAGGCTTGCTTCTGCTTCTACAAAATGATGCAGCATTAAGCTCTTGGCAAGGGCATGATGGTGATGGGTTGGCTCCCACTGATGCAGTCCCTTTTGCCAATTCCCACTGCCTTCCAGCACTTCCCCTAGAAGCTCAGAGCAAGGGCCTCCTGGTAAGGAATACATCCTGGGTGACCACCACATTCCCATGGGATCAGAGCACGGAGAGGAGTTGGATCAGCTCTCTTTCAGTAACGTTTTCAGCTTTTCTCTAGGGGTGCAGGCAGCAGTAAAAAGAAAAGGTAAATACACAGTCGAGTGCCAATATCACAACCTCATAAATCGCTCTGCATGGAGAGAATAAAACCACTGTGTACAGTGGTGTGGTGGGCTCAGTAGGGAGTGACACTGTAGGAAAACATGAGCACCCAGGAAAGACAGGGCAATTGGAACAAACTGGGGTCACCAGCTCAACGACAAGATGATCCTGCTATCCTCAATCATGGAGAACCTTGCTGAAGTCATGGGAAAAAGCTGGGACAGAACCATGGCAGTTCATAGAACCATGGAATCACTTGAGTTGGAAGGCACGTTTAAAGGTCAGTTCTCCATTTCTGACTGCTGGAAATCAGCCCACTATTGCTATTTACACAGCCCAAATGTAGAGCTACCTTTGACTTGCAATGGCTTTGCTGAAGAGAATAAGAGTCACCAAAAGCTGAATGCCTGTCGGTTTGAATGAATACATTTGTTTCTCCCCAGTTGTGCATTCTGCACGCTAACAACAAAACTTACAGATAAAAACCATACTTAGGTTTGTGCAGGGCTAAAGCTCTTCATAGCCAGACAATCGTCTCGACCCAGACTTCTCCCTCCCGTGACTAATCCAAAAAATACCTGCAACATTTTCATTTCATTTTCAGACAGGGTATGAAATGTCAGTGATAAAGAGCATATCAACTCTTGTAAAACATCCACTCTTTCTGGCTTTCCCAACGAGCCGAAGCTGTCAAAAAAAAATAGATTTGTGGATGAACTACAATTGAGTTGTAGATCTCCCTTCACTTCCAGAGCTTTATCGCATAGACTTCATTTGATGAAATCAACTATATGGTGCACTGGAGAGAAGTCACTGAATTAGCTTTGCTTATGCTAATGCCTATCATTAGCAGTGGCTTCAGGTGGTAGATCACTGCAGATTGGTTTCCATGTGTGAGAGAGCAGAGCTCCTGGCAGTCATCACCCATGGCACCGATAGAGGAATTCAGAGCACAGGAGATCTGCTTCTACACAATGATGCAGCATTAAGCTCTTGGCAAGGGTGTGATGGTGATGGGTTGGCAAATGGATTAGGTGATTCTTAAAGGTCTTTGCCAATCTTACTGATTCTATGATTTCCTGGGCAGCCTGGTCTAGTGGCTGGTGACCCTGCACATAGCAGGGGGACTGAAACTAGATGAGCATTGCGGATCTTTTCAACCCAGGCCATTCTATGATTTTTGTGGTGTCTGTTAACTATCACACTTGAGGTGACTGTGAATCTCTGGGCAGGAGGAGAGCCTTACAGTGCTCCTCCAACACTGGGCAAATGAAGGCAAAGCCCAAAGGCTTCACCCGATTTCAGGAGACAATTGTCTGCTAACGACCCTTGCAAGACACATCAACACTGGCACCAAAGACAGATGCTAGCTCCTCTGTAAACTTCATCACCCAGAGACCTCTGAGTCTCTAACAAACGTGTTCAAACCTCAAAAAGCCTGCTGATGCCACTGGAACAAAACACGCTGCTTGGTAAAGCAATAGCCACCACTGCAGCATATTGCAGAATCACACTGGTGACTAAATCCCTGGCACCAAACCTGTAAGAGAGGCTGGGTGTTCCATGCTCAGCTGACTGGAACCCACACCTGGAAACCTTTCAAAAAAAAAAAAGAAATGAAACTGCTTGAGTGTCTCATTGCCAGTCGAGTTTTGCAAAGCTTCCTGCACCTCTTGATGAAGGAATACATTTCCAGAAACAAACGAGCAAAGTCAAAACCAAGGTTTTGTTTGCTTTAGCAAATGAACCAAACCCCAGAAGTGAAACCTTATCCTGTGCCTCAGACAGGCTGGATTCCTGTCCTCACCTTGCTCCCAGTCTTTCCTCCAACAAGGTTGGCCTCTGCCTGTCTCCAGAGGATCCCCCCCAGCCACATGAAAGGATTTTCATGCTATTCAATGGCCCCAGCCTTTAACACAGCCTAAAATCTGACCCTTCCTGCTTGGTTAGAACTCTGGCTGCTCAACTTTAAGTCTCCAGCACAGACACAGGACACAAACTTACCGTGAAGAGACTTGGAAGCGTAGGAACTTAGCTTTTCCATAAATGGGGATTTATTTAATCTTCAACTCAACATCAGATTTGTGCTGTACCTAAAAGTAAATACTCGCTGTTAACGAAGGAAGCGTGGGATTTGTTCATAAAAATAAACACACAAATCATTTAAAAGCCACAGCCTTTCGCTTTCTTAGCCTAATAAATCGCACGCCTACCCATTTTCACACATGGAAGTGCACCAGACTGCAGAAGAAGTTTGTTCCAGAGCTACGCAGTCATTTACCCCAGCTTCATAGAGATCACGATGAGTTCATACTTCCCAGAGTGAAGAAGTGAGACTAGGGAAGTCTCTAGCATGGTCTTATTGCATGGCACCGTCTGGTCACTGCACCAAGAACCTCATACCTACCCACAGCACAATGCTGGGGTTTGTGTAAGTGGTGAATGAGACAGGTCAGGAAGGTAGAGAGCAACACTGAGAAGGCAGTGGAGATTAAGAGATGATTTTTAAAAATCATAAGTAAATAAAAGCTTCCTGACCAGGCTCCCAGCTGATACCAAATACAAGCACCAGCTGGTTGCTAGTGGATATAGACCGTATGAAAATGAGAGGTCTGGTTTCTGTAATTCACAGCAAGAACAAATGGACTAACCTCCCTAAACGCAATCACCAAAGCTGTCTTCAGAGAGAGCACTTGCAAAGCAAGGTGGCCTTTCTTTCAGCACACCAGCATAGGATGCTTGCTTATCACCAGCACTTCTGAGCTCGCCAGAGGAGGAACGTGACAGCGCATAGAGCCAAAGCCCTGCAGCTGAAGGCAAGGGCTGCTGGACACAGACAGGGAGCGGGTGCTCACATTTCTTCAAGCAACTAACATGACAGCAGAAAGCAATACAAGCCCAATGGGATTGCAGTTCCTGCATCTGCATCCATTCGCAAGCATTTTTCATCCCCCGTTGCCAAAGTTACACGCGTTACCTCCCCACCATCTCTTTTTACCAACAGCATCCCTCCCTGACCTTTCTGTTATCCTTCTCCCCCAGCCTATATTTATGGATGCCAACTGTTGAACACAATCTTAGCCAGATCTCCCTCACATATCTATACCATAAAAAAAACCTCCCCAAGCTAACCAGGCACATTAGACACGCTTGGATTAGCAAGGAAATGAAAACAGGCCACAGGAAAGGAGTGGGCTGAAGGAAAAGCTGGAGATGTAATGCTAATCAATCACATCGAGTCGCATTTAATAGGAATTCAGGAATTTCATTCGGTATGAAAAGATTTGGAAAGTTTTGATAAAGTTATGAAAGTTCCTGTAAAAAAAAAAAAAAATCAAGACTGTTTCCAAAACAAGTTTACTTTCCCCACTGCCAGTTCTAACACAATTACCAGGAAGGATTCCAGCAGTAATACAAACAAGCCTCTTTTCCACTTCATACAAATTGTAGAAAGACAGAAAATAATGCAGAATTGTAGGATCATCTAGGATGGAAAAGACCTCCACAATCCTCAAGCCCAACCATCAACCCGACCTCGCTCATCACACTGCTGCTCCTGCATCTCATCAGCACCCTTTTGAGCTTGAGGATCTCAAGGGATAGAGCAGGAGTGAAGAGAATGCCAATATCCCCATTTGAAGGTTGAGTAAATTGAGGCATTGAAGAGTTTCTGTGATTTATCCAAGCAGAACCATAATCTTAACTCATTTGCATGTGAAATACTGTCTCCCATATTAACCCCGCCAGTTGAACACAACTGATTAAAATAGAAGCTCAGGGCAGAGGGTGGGAACTGTCATTTAGAATATGTATTTATATTTCCCAGCTCAAGAGGTGATAAAGCTATTTCTAGTACTCATTATGCCCATTTCATTATTATTTTCATTAACACTGATGTCATTTGTTATTTTTTCATTGCTAATGTTCCTTATAGCCCCTCTTATTGATGCACCCCTCCAGCAGAACGTGAGCTACAGGAATAAAAACATCAGCCAACAGAGCTGTGGTCCTGAAGGCACATAGAATCATAAAATTGCTCAGGGTGGAAAAGGTCTTCAAGATCATCAAGTCCAACTGCAACGCACAGATTGAGCTCTTACAGTGATTCAAACCAGGGTCCAAATAACTCAGGCTTGGCTCTTCATAGGTTAACTAACTAGAAAGTGAGGAAGATTTGCCTCCCAGGACAGAATGCTTGCTTCTCAACAAGATAAACAAGGAGGTCCTTTTATGTTAGGGTGACTTTCTAACAGCTGCTCCTGCACTCCAGATCTGATAACATTGCCATACTGTTGTCTTCAAAGCAATACGGGGAGAAACAACATAAAGCAACCACCTCTATAATTGCTCCAGAGATTATAACCTTGGGAGAAGGCACTCAAGAAATATTACAAGTCAGACCTAAACCCACACGTATAATGAAATGCAGTTACAGATGAAACTCCCTCCTTCACTTACTGGGCTGAATTTGACCCTGATCAAACCACCCAGCAGACAAACCTGGCCCAGCCACTGCTCAGCACTCCAGTCTTAATGAAAGCTTGTCCATGCTTTGAACCCAGCAACAATTAACCTTGACAGGGGTAGATAAGATTCAGATTTCAAAGGAGAGAGAGCTCGCAGGATTTCTGTATGCTTTCATGAGCACTTTGATTATTATTTTAATGAAGTCGTTTGTGATTTAATTTCCGTTTTGTGAGGGGTTGCTTTTATTTTTTATTTATTGCTTAATGGTCACACTGAAAAGATAAAAGCCTTTGGACTCACAGCAGAAGCCAAAGGATGGCCAAAGTCCAACCTACCTCCACCCAACAGCACTCATCTGATACACATCCAGAAGAGGAGGAAATCAGACAAACAGAGGCAATGGATAGCTTAGGAACGACTTATCTCAGACTTTTTGGAAAAGGGAGAACTCATTAGGATATAAGGAAAGCCAGAAGTTGTTACACAAGCACTTCTTTTTAAGCAGACTGAAAATAAGAAGCCAGCAGATCTTTACATGCTTCTCAGCAGGAAGTCTACAGTCATCCATAACATTGCTGATAGTCCTTCATGCTTGGCAAGCCTTGCATTCGACCATATGGAGCTCATCCATCAAGGTGTAACTTTGAAGAAAAAGCCTCTACCAGAGCTGTTCCAGACAAAGCAGCCACTGGTGGTCTTCAAATAAGAGGGAAGGACCAAAGGTGGGGACCGACCTGGACAAATCAGATGGAAAGGAGATGTAGGGGGGAAGTGGGAGAGAGCAAGCATGCTGAAAGTGTTGCCATTTTCTTCCCCATGTCCGTTGGATGGCAAATCAGCAGTGGCATAAGAGTTCACAGGTGCTCTCAGTACTAAGAAGTGTCACATAGTAGGACCTGGCATCCAGAAAATGTGACATCAGCAAAAGAGGAAAGCAAGCCTCGGTGTAACACGTATCTAAATACACACATTTGTATCCCCTTGGTATTTTCTTGGCTGTGCTTTCAAGCACTGCTTTGCATTCACACAGCACGTACCAAAATCAATCATGAAGTTAAGCACATAGACTTTCCTTCCCGAGTCCTAAAGATAACTTGGAGGACACTCAGCTGGAGTCAAGGAGAGCAGAGGGATGAAAATAGAGGAATCAGAGACATTTTTTGCCATGAAGTCATCACAAGAGCCTAACAGCCATAGCAGCAATGAAAAGAAGGCCTAGGCTGAGCTGTTCCTCCCTAACACACTCCTCCATGTTAAGATGATGCTGCCAGGCTGCTTTGCTGTTGCATGATTCCCCCCAGCTCATCACACCTCTCTACAGATGTAGATGCAAATCACCTCCTTTCAGAAAAGCTCAGTTCCCCAGTCCTTCCAGTACCTCCAGAACAGCTCTTTAAGGCTTTTTCCAGTACTTTCACATATTTTATGACATGTTGGCACGCTGCTTGCACACTCCATTCTCTACTTAAAAAAATCCCACAGCTTTCTGGCCTCATACCAGGAGCCACCGCTTGCTCTGATAGCAACATCAGGCCAGGAAGCTCATCCTGAGGGTTGTACAGAACCCAGGACTGTTACACAGCTTTCAAGCCAAATTGCTGAGATCACCAAAATTAAAGCACAGCCCATCCTCTAAATATCATTCATACCAGGATCTGCTGCTGTGGTTTAAAAAAAAAATCATGTCACAGCTAATTGGGAGAAGAGGAGGGATGCACCCTGCCCAGCTCTGCAGAAAGGATGAACCTACAGACGGGGCTCAACCTCTCTTACAGAGTCCAAAACAGCACCAAAACCACAGCTGGAGCACATCTTACTTCAGATTTTCAGTCACCGGATCACAGGACAAAGGCACAGTAATAATTGGCAGCCTGGCTTGCCCCAGATTTTTTGAACTACAAGTGCTTTAGAAAAAAAAATCCTCCCAGCATAGCTGAAGAGTCAGGTTTTAATATTGCATGCATCATATTTGGGCTCATAGCAGGTCACCGACCTTGACAGAACCTGGTTAGAGGGGGGAAAGCCTTTCTAGTGGGCTTCTAAGGATGAAAAAGAATCACAACTCCCTAGAAATGAGGCACTGAAACACTGCAAACAGTGCCCAAGCCATAAACAAGCCATGAGCAGATTTGATTTGCATGAATTGTAATGGCTTAGTGCAGCCCTAAGAAACAGCTTCAGGAGCCAACGAAGGACCACTCAAACACAACACAGCTTGGAAAAAGCTGTGCAGCAGTGCTCAGACCTGCTGCTGAGCACAGGATGATTCAGTCCATCACATCTTCCTCTTTACAGCTTTAAAGCATCATCTGAGTACAGCTTTTTCCATTGCCTGATCCTCTCGAATCCTTGACCTGGTAACATCACATCTGCTGGGTATCAGAGCACTGGGAAGGCTCCCTTCCTTTCTCTTGGATGCAGGCTGCTGTGAGCCCAGCACATTCCCTCACGCAGTACAACACGGTGTTGTGTCTGCAAGAGATGAAAGCTGTCAGGCTGTAACTCAAACAAATCAGATCCAATCACCTTATTGGAAGGGGTGATGAAATCAGCGCAACTGAGAGGCTATGAAAGCACAGGCAGCAGTCTTGTTTGGTGATGGGCACAGAAAGCTGACACCTCTGAC